TATTCATGTATTACTGTGGTTTTATCCGTTTGGCTGTAATTCGCTTTCAAATTTGAAAAAATGCTCGAAAAACAAGTGTTTTTACATTTCATTGATTTTCTCGAAAACTATAATAGATAGAATGAATCTAAAAGATGCATATCAAAGCTGAATGATTGGGGAATGTAGTAAGTATTCATGTATTACTGTGGTTTTATCCGTTTGGCTGTAATTCGCGTTCAAAATAGAAGAAATGCTCGAAAAAGCAGTGTTTTCACATTTTATTTGATAAATTGAATGAGTGAATCATTTAGCATGTATATTACTGTGGTTTATATTTATTTATGTGTTCTTCGGGTGACTAAGAATCTATTAATCATTTGAAACAGAAATATTTAGGTAAAAAAATAATTGTTATAAAATATTTCATAAATTTAGATTAAAGTAATTTTTTCACCTTAGTTAACTTAGAAACACAATGATTGTATTAGGATTACATTAAATCCGCTAAATATAAAAAAATAAAATGATAATATACAATCTAAATTTCATAGTTGAATTAATTAAAAATTCAAATATTTATTGATATTTTTTTTGTGTAAAACAAAATATATTTTCACTATTCATTGAAATTTTTTTAATGTAAATTTAGTTTCAAATTCAAGAAAAGTTATCAATATAATTTTGTAGGAAATTGTAAATTTTTGATTAAAAAAACCTGGCAATTCTAAGTAAAATTAGGAAATTTGTTTAACTAATAAAAAATCGATAATTACTTTAAGCCTCTCTGAAAGTTTTTCCACGAAGATCTGATCCAGATCGATGAATTTCTTCACGGCTTCCGATTCTTTCGAATCCTCCATGCACAGATTACTAATTTTACTGGAAACATGAAAAGAAACACACTCAACAAACATATATCTAATGTCATTAAGTCTGGGTAATAACAGACACTTACTTCTCGATTTCGTCGTACAAAACGTGCACATTGCACTCGTACTCATCTTCCGGTGTTAAAGGTAATGGTAGATTTTTGGTGGGTCTCGGTGGAACTTGCGGTGCTTCATCTGCTCTGGACTTGGATAACTTCAATCTTGGTCTTGGTACAGGTATATTTGGTTTATCCATCTTCACTCTGAACTTGAGCATCTGAACTGCTGCGTCGTTGACTCAGAAGTCGCTTTTGTTGTTATCTATATTCGTATCTATACTCATGGATAACGTTGATAACGAACGCGCACGTTTGCAAACGCATACAATGAACAAGATTTGTTTTTCCATGTTTTTTTGTACAAGTAGGAATAATACAATTGTTTACTAATTTTTCAGCGTAGTTGATTAAACTTTATTGATTTATTTATATAAACAGAAAACAAATGAGGGAAGCTCAGTCGATGTTCAGCTTTCTGAAGGATCCCTCCATTCCGAAATAGTCGGCTGAAGTTTTCGGTTTTCCTGGTCTCTTCGATTCGTCAGACTTGTACTTCGCATCCTCTTTGAACCAATTCTTGTAACTCTCCACCTTAGTCTTCCAATAATCTGCAAACGAATACTCAATGTAATCTTAACTCTAAAGTTTACTAATTTCATACATTTTGAAATATTAACAAAAATCTTCAAATATGTTACAATTTTTACATTATTGAGTCAAGATTTATAAAATATCAAAAACAAACTTCTTGTAAATAAATTCAAACTATAAAAAGATAAAAATTTCTATTGGTATTTTAAAATTATGTTTTTTTTATAAGAAAATTTAAAAAAATATATATGAAAACTTTAATGATTTGATCAATTTTGAAACATTCATGAAAGTATCTTACTTAATCCAATTATTCTACGAAACTTGTCTAAACTTTAATAATTTGATTAAATTTTGTATTATTACAAAAGAAAACAATCGTCCTGAAACTACAAATCGAAATCCTAAAATTTCTAAATTTGAATCAAGATTTATAAAACTTCCAAAACCAACTTATTGTGAATAAATTTAAACTAGAAAAACGAAAAAATTTCTATTGGTACTTTTAAATTATGTTTTTTTATAAAAAAAATTAAAAAAATATTTATCAAAATTTAATAATTTGATCAATTTTGAAACATTCATGAAAGTAAATTACTTAATCCAATTATTCTACGAAACTTGCCTAAACTTTAATAATTTGATTAGATTTTGTAGTAATACAAAAGAAAAAAATCGTCCTGAAACTACAAATCGAAATTCTAAAATTTCTAAATTTGAGTCAAAATTTATAAAACTTCCAAAACCTACTTCTTGTGAATAAATTTAAACTAGAAAAAAGAGAAAATTTCTATTGGTATTTTAAAATTATGTTTTTTTTTTATAAGAAAATTAAAAAAAATATATATCAAAACTTTAATAATTTGATCAATTTTAAAACATTCATGAAAGTATCTTACTTAATCAAATTAATCTTCAAAACTTGCCTAAAATTTAATAATTTGATTAAATTTTGTAGTAATTCAAAAGAAAAAAATCGTTCTGAAATTACAAATCAAAATCTTAAAATTTCTAAATTTGAGTCAAAATTTATAAAACTTAAACTAGAAAAACGAGAAAATTTCTATTGGTATTTTAAAATTAAGAAAATTAAAAAAAATATATATCAAAACTTTAATGATTTGATCAATTTTGAAACATTCATGAAAGTATCGTACTTAATCCAATTATTTTACAAAACTTGTCTAAACTTTAATAATTTGATTAAATTTTGTAACAATACAAAAGAAAAAAAATCGTCTTTAAACTACAAATTGATATCCTAAAATTTCTAAATTTGAGTCAACTTCCAAAATCAACATCTAGTTAATAAATTTAAACTAGAAACACTTTAATATTTCTATTGGTATCTATAAATTATTTTTTATCCAATTGATTCTGTTAAAATTTTCTATTTTTTTTTTTGATCCAATTAAAATTTCTTAATGTTTTCTTTTTCAATTCTTTCTCATATCCAGCAAAGACTAAAAATTATGATATACATATTCATTTAAGACAAAACTAGTTTTTTTTCAATAAATCAAAGTTATCTTTCCGAAGTTCTCTAAATTAATTATAGTTTAATACAGACCTGTAAGTTCCTGCAAAGTTGGACCATCGCCACCGTACTCCTTCGGCAGAATCTCTTTGGGAACGGTCTTGTACAGCTCTTCCAAGTTATCAGTTGAATGGACGACCATCTACAAACTCATTATTTACAAATAGTTAGATTGGACAATATTAATTACCCTTTTCTTCATCTTCTCGTTGAGAAACGGCTTCATCATGTTGAACATCGCGTCAAAGAAGGACGGAATGTTGATGAAATGACCGGCCTTCGGTCTAGTCGGACAAGCTTCTTGGAAAACGGTCATCGACTTCTTCACGATACTCGGAGTCATAGCGGTCATGTGAGCCATAGTCGAACCCTTCATATCCTGTATCATAATCCCTCCAGCAATGATGAAGTTATCGTCTTCGTTGATCATGATATCCTGGATCAACATGTTGGATTTCATCAAGTCAGCTATGTTAATCTCGTTGGGATCGAAGGAGCCGTTACGGAGAAGCACTATTCTCGGCGAGTCAGGGCTTTGGGTTTGCGGCAAAGGCAGATAACAACTGAAAACAAGTCAATTAGTTGACAATCTTGATGTTTTCGTAGCAAAAGAAAAATACCCGGATTTTAAGATTTTTTGGATTTCAGGAGAAAACGGATCCCTGTTGTTGTAGAACTCCGGGCAGATCGTCTTCATCGTGTAGTACATCTCCAGCTTCTCCTTGGTCCTTTCCAAGCTGAATTTGCATCCTCTCAAGAAGGACAACAACCATTGGTCATCTGCAATCAAACGCTTATGAATTTCCCATCTGATTAATATATTTTTTTTTGTATATTATTACCAGTCCTAGCGTTGATGTGCTTGGTTTGCTTGAGCCAATTCTTGATGTAGGCCAAATCCTCGGGAATCCTCGACACATCCTCGTTCAGCTCTTTGATGGCTTTCGCCTGAAGCTCCTGCGAGACGCTCCTGATGGACATGTTGCTCGACGATGGAATTAATTAGTTCTGTAACGCTAACGCTGCAGGTATCGTCGCGTCGTTCCGGAGATTAGATATCGAATCCATTTAAATCAATCTAATTTTGGGCAGATAAGGACACAGCTTTATATAATAAGGTCTCTATCTATCGAAATCGACGATCAAATAAAACGAAACACAGCAAGTTTATTTTTTAAAGAAATATAAAAATCGTTTCAATCATCAAATTTACAATAAAAGCTACAACTTTTACGTTTTAAGTTAAGCAACTTGGATGGGTGATAAATTGAACACATCAACAAAAATACGTAGTTTAAGAACGTCTTAATCAATATTCACTTGATCACAGTTTTGAACAAATAAATTAGACATAATATTTTCTTTATATTTAGTATTAAAATCCATACTTACTTCATTATTTTTTACGTTTGAATTGAAAGGTTTTCAATATATTAAACTCATAGTAGAAACAAAACAACTGTTTATTATATTTATATATAAAAAAAAAACGAAAAAATAATAGTAAAACAACACGACAGACGAAAAAAATTTGAAGAAAATAAAAATTTAGACAACTCGGTATTAATTAGCTCACTAATTCAAAATCCATAAAATTAAAGCCTTAAATCTACGAAAAAGAAAGGTTTTACTTGCTAATATTTACATAGTAATTAATCAATATTTATATAATTTAATATTGGATGGGAGGGATTCTGGGTCTAGGACTATATAGTTTATATAGTATATCACATAACATAGTAAAAAAATAATGTTGTAGCTGCACCGACAGTGTTCGTGCGCGCATCAGAAGTCCTCGAACAGCTTCAGATCCGCCTCCTCCAGATGCTTACCACTCTTCCAATCTGTTTCCGGATACTCGTCGAAGTTGCTCGTGTCTCCGTCGTACAGAACTTTCGGAATGATCGGCGCCTTCAGCTTCCTCATCGTCACCTCCTGCCAATCGATCCCTTTGAACCATCGATGCCTCTTGATGTCGTCGGCACCGCTCTGCAAAAATTTAACAATTAGCAATTAACAAATTTAATGGACGATTAAACTTACTTTCATGTTGCCCAAACGCTTAGTCCTGTCCTGTATCAGCAGCTTCTTGATCAGATCTTTGGCGACTGGATCGAGATGCTTGGGCCACTCGATCTTTCCGCTCAAGATCTTCTCGTAAATACCGAACGGATTGTCGTCGTAGAAAGGCGGATATCCGGCGAGCATCTCGTAAATCAGAATACCTGCAAAAACATTCACAAATGTAAACATGATCAAGCAATAAATAATTTGCATAGCTCGATGGACAAACGACATAAATAATTGAATATTTAAGTCAGTTTATATAATTGATTAGTTGCAGATAATAATGATAATGTCTATCTGTTTACGTCGCAAATTCGTAATTAATAAAACGTTTTCTTTTTTATTAATAATAATAAATATAATCGCTGATAAATTCATTGCATGTACACGTTACCAGGTAACATCGATGATTTATTGTTGCAGTTTGCAATCTATGAAAATAAAATAAGATACAGAGAGTCGATAAGTGTAGATTTTCAAAATAGATTAATTTTGGAACAGTTTTTAATATAAATGAAAATTGAATTAAAAACTTTTTTATATTTCTTTTAATTAACATTAAAATGAAACTTAACGTTTTAATTAGAACAAATCAATCCAATGTTGAATTTGCCGATTTTGCTAATAAATTATACTTTTTTTTTTTAATTTAATTAACTTCTGATGCAGTGATAACTTGGTTGCCTAAATATAAGGCTTCGAGGTGACGTTTAAATAATGACAGATATTCAAAAACAAATTAAAATACGTCATCGCGTGACATTTAAATGACAGATGTCATTAAGGTTATAACTTTTAAATGACAGATTAAAGTATTTTGACGTTTAAATGTCAGATATTCAATAACGTTGAGGGTAAAACACGTCAACTTTTTGATATTAATAATTTGTTTTTAGTAATTGCGAAAAGTTTCGGTACCAAAATACAATTTTTCAGAATAAAAAAAATTGATGAAAAAAATCCAATTAGGTGTAACAAAAATATATATTTTTTAAATGAAGGTTTCAATAAATGATGCATGCATGAAATGTTGTACATAAAGACGTTCTTTGAAAATCATTTTATAGGCCACACGTATATTTGTGGCATGAACAAACGTCGATGAAAAAAAAAAAAAAGATAAATAACTGAAGCAATTATAATTACAGCTGTGGCCCATTTAAGCAAAAAGGCAAACGCGAAATATCGCAGATCCAAAGTCAGCCTTTTCCCCTCTCCAATTGACGTCATTCATATACCGACGAAGCCTCCGCTTCAATTTCAAAACGTAAACAAAGACAAAACGCGTGCATCTGTCAAAACTACGAAGCCCACGTTGATTAACTCATACGAATTCAAAAAAAAAAGAAATAGATGGATCCATGCCAGGACAACTTAATTAGCGAATTGAGATAAAAAAAAAACTAATCTTGGCTCAATTTAGACTTCGTTTTAAATTATGGATTTTAATGATGAAATCTCTCACCTAAAGCCCACCAATCGACGGCTTTGTTGTGTCCTTTGCTCTGGATGATTTCTGGAGCCAAGTATTCGGGTGTTCCGCACAGAGTCCACGTTCTGTCCGTGAGTTTCTTGGCGAATCCGAAATCGGTGATCTTCAAGTGACCGTCTTTGTCGAGCAGAAGGTTTTCAGGTTTCAGGTCTCTGTAGACGATGCTTTTCGAGTGGAGATATTCCAAGGCGAGGACGATTTCGCTGCTGTAGAAGTTTCCCGTTAAGGTGCTGAATCTTCCTGCGTTCCTCAAGTACGAGAAAAGCTCACCGCCGCAGACGTATTCGAAGAGCATGTAAATGCAGGAATCGTCTCTGTTGCACCACAACCTACAACAACAAATGTTATTTATAATTAACTTAATTATATTGAAATGTCAAAAGTAATTGTAAAACGTCAAAGTAACAGAATAACCTATATTGATGTAATGTCAATGGTGACGTTTAAATAACAAAAATCAAAATTATGACATCTTTACATATGACAGATATTGAAAATAAAAGACATTGAGGTTAAAATAAATCTTGACTTGACGTTTAAATGACAGATATTCAGAACGAATGTGACGTTTTGCGTTATTCATGGCGTATTGCGAATTTCCAATTACATCAAATCGAAAACAGAGAGGAAGTAAATCAATTATATAACAAAAAACAGAAATAAAATGGTGAGAGCGTTGGAAAATTTATGATTTACGGTTTATTATCTGATTGGTGTTGTATGCCAATTTCCTCTTGACGTACGAATCGATGACCGCCGTCGCTGTTACGACACCGCAAAAAATTGAAGTCAATTGAATCGAAACGGCGTTACGCAATTGTTTTCCAATTTCGAAACAGCTGATCGAAGACAACAATAACAAATAGTTGTCCGTGTACTAATATTGAGATATTCATAAATAATTAACGATTTTGAACAGTGTTTCTAAACATTTCCATTTTTTTTTTCTAATTTTCTTTTATTTTAATTTGTTCGTGAGAAAAATTTTTACTACTCCATTTTGGAGGAAATAGAAATTTTCCTTGTGTTTCTCGCGTGCAAATGATAAACAATTGTTACAGAAAATTGTTGGAATGAGTTGCACGCAAGGAGCGGAGCGAATCACCGCCAAATCGTAATTGACGTTTATTTAAAACAATGCAAGGACATCTGTCACGTTTCCTCCATGACGTTTAGTCAAGTCACACTATTATTAATCATAATTTTCTTTCATTATCAAATCTTATTATTGGATAATTTCTTAGAATCGTATCAATTAATTGTTAATTTAGTTTAATTTATTAACGAAAAACTAGATGGCGTCACTATAAGAAATTGACATAACTGTCAAAATGACATTTAATTAATGTTCGTGATGCAACAAACTAATCGAGAATTCAGATTGTAATAAACTTAAGTTAAATTAAAAAAAAAACAAATGTTATGCAGCGAAGCGTTAAAATCGTATTCGGATTTAATTAATGATAAACATCTGCCTGTCGGTGGACGGCTGCTTCGCACACCTTTTTTAGCTCTACGTGCATAATTAGAAAATCGGGCGCAGATGTTGCGATTTCCTGCTGTGCTGCAGAAATCCAGGATTTTCGATCAAAGAATAAACACAAAAAAAAGAAAATCACATTCGTGTCATCTAAATATTGAGTTGAATCTTCGTTCTTCAGATAGACTTAGGTCACTTTCTCGTTTTTCGCCCAGGGCCAACCGACAGATTTATGCTTTCTTTTTTTAAACGAATACAAAAACCGGAAATCTATAATTTTTTAATTTAAAAAAAAAATAATAACTAATTTCTAATTAAAATTTTTAGTAGTTAAATTTAATGTCAAATTTGATACTTGTCAAACGTTTTTTCACCTGTCACTTGATTCATTTAAATAGGTTATGTTTCTTAATTAGTCATTATAATTCATTGACAAAATGACATATGTCATTCGAAATGTCATATTATCTTTTCAATTGTTTTTTTCATTAAATTGGTAACTTAGATGTGTGTTCTTTTTTCTGTTATTGATGTGGAAATAAGCAGTGACAAATATTGTTTGCTGTTGCATTGAGGACGGTTATAGAATCTGCGTTAGGAGGCAGTAGTAGTTATCTGGACTACTTTCGAGTTGATCTGCTCGAAACCACCCACGGCTATTACAAATACCGAACGGGACAGACGAGAACCTCGAGAGAACGTTTAATATTTTCAATATCCTTTATCTGTTTCTCTCGCACTGAAATAAAACTTGAATTCTCCCATAGAAGAAGAAGAAGAAGAAAAAGAAACAAGTATAAATAAATGGGAATTATCCTTGGTACTTTGGACAATAATAAATATACGCTGGGTGATAGATTGAAGGATCGAAGGTGCTTTTTCCTGCTTTACTATTATTATTATTATTATTATCATCTTCATTTTATACTTCTTTCTGTCTTTTCTTATGTTTTTTTTTGTTGTTGATTTACTGTGTGCGTTTTAGTTTTGAAACTCGGCCAAAAGGCATTCATTTCGCACGCAAACTATATGTGTAACATGCGGCCAGACAGCGCCTCTCTCGACCCACATCTACTCCACTCCACTCCACTAATACTATACTACTCTGTACACTCTCTCGCTGCTTGCTCGGTCGCTCGAATCTAATAAGATCATCACCGTCTTACGTACATGTTCACGATGAAGGGATGCCTGATCTCCAGCAGAATGTTCTTCTCGTTCTTCACGTGCTCCACCTGCTTCAATCGGATCACATCGGACAGGTTCAGCACTTTCATCGCGCCGTACTCATCCGTCGATTTGTTGCGACACAACAATACCCTTCCAAATGTTCCTGTACCTACAAACAATACAATTCAATACATTAATTACTATAATTTCATACTTTAACATATTTGTTTCATAATAATTTAAAAGAAACTTAACAATATTCATCAATTTAATAAGATTTACGCTTATTTACATGAACACATCTTTGGAATTTTATGTCAAATTTGACACTGACAGTTATTGGATTTAATAGTACCAACATCAATTACAGCTGACACAATTTATTCTTAATTTAATTACTATTTCGCAAAGTCTATGAATCAAAACATCTTTGAAATATCCTTGATAATGTAAAAAAAAAAGATACTTGTCAAAAGTCAGATTGACAACTGTCATAAATTGTTTTTAATTTAAGGAATTAAGCTATTTCTTTAATTCCATGAATTAATCCATCCTTGCTAATGTCAAATTTGATACTTCTCAAACGTCAAAATTTAGACAGCTGTCAAACGGTAATTTATCCATCTTACAGAAGTTAATAATTATAGAATCAATTTAAAAGGAATGTAAGTATTTATAAGTTAAAAGTCAGATTCACAGCTGTCATAAATTGTTGAATTAAGCTATTTTTTAAATCCATAAATTAAGCCATCCTGTCTAATGTCAAATTTGACATTTCTCAAACGTCAAAATTTTGATAGCTGCCAAACGTTTTCTTTCAAGAATGTATCAGGTAACAATTAAAACTAACGGCAATTTATCCATCTTACATAAGATAATAATTATAGAATCAATTTAAAAGGAATGTAACTATTTATAAGATAAAAGTCAGATTCACAGCTGTCATAAATTGTTGAATTAAGCTATTTTTTTAAATCCAGGAATTAAGCCATCCTTGGTAATGTTAAATTTGACACTTCTCAAACGTCAAAATTTTGACAGCTGCCTTTCAAGAATGTATCATTTAACAATTAAAACTAACGGTAATTTATCCATCTTACATAATAATTATAGAATCAATTTAAAAGGAATGTAACTATTTATAAGTTAAAAGTTTAATTATAAACATACATGAATCATTCATTTATTTAGCGGACGCGATAAACTGTAGGCGTTTTCTCCTATTCGATGCACTACAAATTACATTTATGTCTATATTACATAGATTGTTTAGGAAATGTGGGCGAAAGCAAAAAAAAAAAAAAATAATTGCAATAATATTGCCTTTCACTTGAGAAGATTTTTTTTATTCTTCAATTATTCAATAATTTTCGCAACGATTAATCAAAAAATTCAATTGTTTATAAAACAAAATGCATCTGTCAAAATCAAAAAAACGTCAGAAATGTCAGATTTTGTTTGTTTGTTTATTAATATCACTGCAAACAATACAATTCAATACATTAATTCACAAAATTACTAAATTTTCATAATTTAACACTTTTGTTTCATAAATTTAATAAGATTTACGCTTATTTACATGCATTAACACATTTTTGGAATTTTATGTCAAATTTGACACTGACAATTATTGGATTTAATAGTACCAACATCAAATTTTTCTTAATTTGATTGCTGTTTCGCAGAGTCTATGAATCAAACCATCTTTGAAATATCCTTGATAATGTAAAAAAATGATACTTGTCAAAAGTCAGATTTACAGCTGTCATACATTGATTTTCATTTAATGAATTAAGCTATTTCTTTAAATCCATCAATTAAGCCATCCTTGCTAATGTCAAATTTGACTCTTTTCAAACGTCAAAATTTAGACAGTTGTCGAACATTTTCTTTCAAAAATGTATCATTTAACAATTGAAAATAACAGTAATTTATCCATCTTACATAATATGATAATTATAGAATCAATAAACTGCAGGCGTTTTTCCTATTCGATGCACTATAAATTACATTTATATCTATATTACATAGAATGTAATTGCAATAATATTCCCTTTCACTTGAGAAGATTTTTTTTATTCTTCAATTATTTAATTATTTTCTAACAAATCATTAAAATATGACACATGTCCAAATCAAAACGTCAAAATTGTCAATTAATCAAAAAAATCAATTGTTTATAAAACAAAATACTCCTGTCAAAATCAAAAAAAAACGTCAGAAATGTCAGATTTATTGTTTGTTTGTTTATTGATATCACGTAACAGAAGAACACAATAAACAAATTGATAATATTCCATGCACGCTTAATCAGGTTATCAATAAACTGAAATTAATATGTTGGCGATAGCAGTTATAATTTGTTATTCGATATGCTCAAGTCATATAACAAATGAATAACAAAAAAAAAAACGAAATGATAATCGTCAGTGCAGTTAAAAACAAATAAATAAATAAAATTATGATATGTAAATTGTTTTTATATGGCTGAAGCCTTGAACGTGAAACTTGAAACGGAAACATAAGACGAACTAATTTTTCGCTACCGCTTTTGTTTATTTATACGAAACTTTGGTGCTTGAATTCGTTTTATTTCAGTTTGTATTCGAAATCTCTTCCAGTTTTTTTTTTGTTGGTTTCTTTTAAATTCATCCTGCTGAGTGTTGCGTTGCTTCGAATGCTGCAGCGTTTCAGTTTTATTGTCGTTCCCTGTCTGAGAGTTGAACCACCTCGTCGAATGCTGATTAAGTAACTCTTCTATAATTACACGGCTTCTTTTCGAGCCACCTGATTTTTATACTTGCTTTACGTTTTTCCTTCTTTTTTTCTTTTCATTTCGCACAGGGATCTATAAACTCTCGAGTGTTAATAACTTCGGTATGTTTCCATTAAACTCGATACAATTTGCAATTTCGCTTTGTAACGAGTTTCTTGACTCCTTTCAATTAAACAAAAAAAAAAAAGAAAAAACCTTTAAATCGACATTATTTTTAGCCTCTGTCCACAAATTTATATAATTATCATTAAATTCACTTAGTTTATTTATAATCACTTACATTTATATATTTTATAACACGTTTTTATTTGAAAAATTATAGATAAACTGAAACTAAACATATGGAAACGATCGCGGATTTTTTTTTATAACAATTTTAAAATATGAGTTTCTAAATTGAAGCATTATGTAATAGTTCGGGTATTTTTAGCGCGTAATTTCGGTTGATTTTCGGCGCTGAGAGATGCGAAAAGTCGCAATCCGGGAAGTGTCGTTTTGTGTCGGCTTGCAACACACAGCAGGACGGGCGCATTCATTATTATTTATCGTTTTTGGCAGTGGAGACAACGTCGTTTCGTTGCGATGGATGGACTACATCGTGAGCGGTTCCTTTCATCGTTCCGAAAGACCGAAATCACAATTTTCTAAAAAAAAATACTCAACATTTGAAACGTTTTTCCAATGTTATTATTCACTGACAAACGTAATTGACACGTTCATGATTTTTTAATCAAATTTGACATTTGGTAAACGTCATAATATTTGACAGCTGTCAGATAAATGTAAATATTTTTTTATGTTGGGTGAAGTAAAAAATTCTATGCCTTTTTCTCTCTGTTTCGATGATGAAATTAACATATTCGATAACTTTTGCCCATTTTGAAGGCAATTTCATAATTTTGCGATTGAAGAAATAAGACACTGATGAAATCCTTTCATATTTACGTAATAGACACGTTCATGAATTTTTAATCAAATTTGACATTTGGTAAACGTCATAATATCTGACAGCTGTCAGATAAATGTAAATATTTTTATATGTGTTAATTAACAAAGTCAGAATTTTCAGATTTAGATCAAATGTTGTCCATTTTGAAGGCAATTTCATAATTTTGCGATTGAAGAAATAAGACACCGATGAAATCCTTTCATATTTACGTAATTGACACGTTCATGAATTTTTAATCAAATTTGACATTTGGTAAACGTCATAATATTTGACAGCTGTCAGATAAATGTAAATATTTTTATATGTGTTAATTAACAAAGTTAGAATTTTCAAATTTAGATCAAATATTCGACATTTTCTTCCACAACTTTTGTCCATTTTGAAGGCAATTTCATAATTTTGAGATTGAAGAAATAAGACACCGATGAAATCCTTTCATATTTACGTAATTGACACATTCATGAATTTTTAATCAAATTTGACATTTGGTAAACGTCATAATATTTGACAGCTGTCAGATAAATGTAAATATTTTTATATGTTGGGTGAAGTAAAAAGTTCTAAGCCTTTTTCTCTTTGTTTCGACGATGAAATTAACAAATTCGATAACTTTTGCCCATTTTGAAGTCAATTTCATAATTTTGCGATTGAAGAAATAAGACAACGATGAAATCCTTTCATATTTACGTAATTCACACATTCATGAATTCTTAATCAAATTTGACATTTGGTAAACGTCATAATAATTGACTGCTGTCAAATAAATGTAAATATTTTTATATGTGTTAATTAACAACGTTAGAATTTTTGGATTTAAATCAAATATTCGACATTTTCTTCCACAACTTTTGTACATTTTGAAGGCAATTTCATAATTTTGCGATTGAAGAAATAAGACACCGATTAAATCCTTTCATATTTACGTAATTGACACATTCATGAATTCTTAATGAAAATTTGACATTTGGTAAACGTCATAATATTTGACAGCTGTCAAATAAATGTAATTTTTTTTATATGTGTTAATTAACAAAGTTAGAATTTTCAGTTGAGATCAAATATTCGACATTTTCTTCCACAACTTTTGTGCATTTTGAAGGCAATTTCATAATTTTGTGATTGAAGAAATAAGACACCTATGAAATCCTTTCGTATTTCTTCTGTTCAGATACTCAAATCTTGACAGCTGTCAATTTTTTTTACTTAAATTAAAATAATTAGCGACAATTAAATCTTTAAATAAATGAAAGAATGAAGATTGAAACCTAATTTTTGTGTGTATTCAAGCTGTGCATCATCCGTATGTCAAAACATTTCTCTCTTTCTCTCTGTGCTGTGTGATTAAGGACCGACCGAATATTTATACCTGTATTATTTATATACGCCGTTTAGATTTAATGGCGATAATAAATCTCGCGCTAAATAGAGGCCATTAAAGAGCAGATGATGACGAGATGAAGAAGAAAGAGGAAAGAAACCGGCGGCGGCCGCAGCAATCTCTTCTTCGTCCGTCGGTCGATGGAATTCGCAGGCAGTTCTCGCATCGGGAAAGTTCACACTTGATTTTTCCTGTTCCAATATACAAACAAAACAAAACGAATGCACGACGCATGGCCCACTTCGATGTACTTCGAAGTAAATAAAACATTTGCCACGTGGAAACATGAGAAAGATGTTGCAACGAAATTTCATTCATTCAAACAATTGAAACTCGCTGTAAACAAGCGAAGAAAGACAAAAAGAAAACATTGACATAATTAAAATAATTGAAAAGTTTTGTAAAACAATCGAATAAAAGGACAAGTTATGTTTTTAATGCAGCAGTAATAAAATTCATTGAAATAACTGAAACTTATTATAAACAATTGATGAAAAGAAAAACATAAGAAAGTAATAGAAATTTCATTCAAACAATTGAAAAATAATGTAAATAATTGAAGAAATTATTAAAAAATGAACATTAAATAATTACTTATTAATAATTAAATTTTATTGTAACAATTATTTAATATACATTATTAAACAAATGACGAAGGAAATCGTCACGAAAACAATTGATGAATTAAAGCAATTGAAGACTAAACAAAGAGATTACTAGAATATGGAAGAGTGATAAAAAAGTATTGTTAAAACAAAAGGATTAATTGAAATTGAATTTGTAAACAATTGAAGAAATAACTAGAAAATTAAAATAATTGAAGCATACTTAAACAATTGAAACGAATATTAAACAATTATAGAAAACAAACAAAAAATCTAGACTAGAAAAACTTGATAAACCATTAAAATAATTGGAAAACAATTGTTCATCATGCGAACAATTATATGGCAAATAAACAAGAGCGCTCAGTTATATATTTAAAAAAACAAAAATTAAAAAAAACACAAGAAAGTAGGGGAAGTTTTATTCAAACAATTGAAAAATAATGTAAATAATTGAAGAAAACGATTTGAAGAAATTATTAACAAAATGAACGTTAAATTATTACTTATTTGTTGAAACAATTGTTTAATATACATAATTAAACAAATGACGAAGGAAATCGTCACAAAAACAATTGATAAATTAAAGCAATTAAAGAACAAACAAAGAGATTACTAGAATATGGAAAAGTGATAAAAAAGTATTGAAAAAACAAAAGGATTAATTGAAATTGAATTTGTAAACAATTGAAGAAATAACTCGAAAATTAAAATAATTGAAGCATACTTAAACAATTGAAACAGATATTAAACAATGATAGAAAACAGAAACAAAATTATACTAGAAAACCATCTTAAATCATTAAAATAATTGGAAAACAATTGTTAATCATGCCAACAATTATGGTAAAAAAAAACAAGAGTGCGCAATTATTTATTGAAAAAACAAAAATTTACAAAAAAAAAAACAAGAAAATTGATGTAATTATAAGAAAACGATTGCAATAAGTAACAAATACAATTTTAGTTACAAAACGCGGATGTTAATAAAGTATTGTGTAAGATGAGTTTTTTTTTGCATCCATGCAGTGTGGGTTTATAGATTTGAGTCATTTAACGGATATTATAACAAATTTAATGAATGATTTCTGGATGTAGGAAGAGCAAGCGGCAGAAACAGTGATTCAATTGTTACCAAAATAAATGAAGGACGACCTCCGGTCCACGCAGCGACAGATAAATCAAAAATCTTTCGAGAGCGATTCATTATTTATTTATTATTATTATTATTTCGAATGTGTCTATTTTTATACATATTTATTTACAAAAAAAAAACAACACGAATCGAGTGGAAAAATATGAATAAAATCAAATAGAAATATGTGTTAAAAGTGTGTTAAATGTCAAACTTTTGACAGCTGTCAAAAAAAAAAATTGAGCCAACTACATAATTTAACATTTATATTGGGAAAATATGAATAACGTCTAATACATATGTATTAAAAGTGTGTTAAATGTCAAAATATTGACAGCTGTCAAAAAAATATTGAAGTAATTACATAATTTAACATTTATATTGATTAAAATACTAAGAAATCTTTAAACTAAATTTATAAGATTAAGATAAATAAGACGCTTCTGGACAAAATTAAACAAATACCTAACGTAAAATGAATAACGATTATAGAAATCCCTTTTTTTTATTCAGTTCTCGGTTTCAAAGGTCTCATTGATCAAACGCTCCGATGAACAGTGAAATCAATTCCTTCCATACTTCATTTACTCCTCCCGATTATTACTAATTGCTTGACGAAAACTTTAATATCCTCAATTCTCAATTCATTTTCAGTAAACAAATTATGTAATTATTTGTACAAAATTGTACAATATTTCATTCGCACTTCGTAATTATTGAAATTATACAAATAATTATATACATTATTTTTTTATTATTATTTGAATTCGATTTTACATGATTTATTTCGCTGTTTACGACGTGATAACAAGATAATGTTATATTTAAACGTTAATTTGTTTTCACGTCAAAAACTCATAATAAACGCCTTTGATCAGTTAATTAACTTTGAAGCGTTTCTACCATAAACTACACGTAAACAAATTATGCACGGTTCAATAATACTGAAGGTTACTGATTGTTTTTTTTTTTAGTTACAAACTTATGAACAAAAATAAAATTAGAAAAAAAAAGTTAGTTAATTGAAGGAAAAAAAAAATGCTTAGATTTATTGAAAACAATTGATTATAGAATATACAAAAACAGTGTCAGAAAGAAGAAATTGCCATGAAAATTTCTAAAAAATAAATTAAAAATGACTAGGAGACAGTTGTCATGGATTCAATAAAAAAACAATCAAATCTTCTAGAAACAAAATATCTAGTGAAAAATGTGCGTGTTGATTTTAGAAATGTAATAAAAATTTCGATTCGAACATCTTTTCTATAGTGATGCAC